TTTACCTATTTGATCTTTGCAACTGTGAATACATTTCCTACTACTATACTGATGAGGAAAACCAAGTCAACTTGAGAAGTCATATTTCATAAGAACTGTTGAAGAAACTAGAACCCCAATCTTCTGGATTCAAAAGTAACTGAACTTATCAGTAAGGATCAGAAAAGACTGAACAGCACTAACTTCTGAAACAAATCAGAACTTTACAACCCCTTGTTAAAGTATTTCTGGTAGGCTAGGATACTATGCCAGTGCATTTCTGAGCTACTGAGCTTTGTAAATTAAGATATAGGTTTGTACTGGGGAACTTACAATGTATATTTCATATTTAGTACCTATAATCGTCATTCACATGGATACATAAAAACATACAGCTATTCAATTAGTTCAGTTTTTTTATGTGAAAACTAAGATTGAATAAGAAAAAACTGGCTTTGGTAAGATTTGTTCCTAATGCATCTTAGACACTGTGAGTTACAAAGATTGCCACACAGGGGTACTATTTAAGGACATTATAAATAGTGTCTTTTAAAAGTAAAACAGTTAAAACTGATGAACTCAGTTTTAATTTTGTATTTTAATTTGAGTTTTTCTCTTATTCTGAGTCTTCACTGCCAATCTAGTTTTTTCATTTAAATTTTGAAAGTGAGATTATTCACATTCTCTTCTGTTGTTTAAATGCAGAATCTTTTAATTTTGTCAAAGGAATCTGATAAGTATGAATCTAAACTTACTTACTAGCTTATAAAACTGATTCAGGAACTTTGCTGATTTCTGTTATGCAAAAATGAACCATAATTTAAAAGCATGTGACTATCATGTAATAGTATACTTGATTTATCCCTTACTGTTTTGTTTTTGTTTTGTTTGAGCCAAAATTTAGCTTTGTGTTTTGTGGATCAGTTAGCTGCACTTCTAATACAGAAACCTAGATTGAAAAATAAATATAATAGTGCTGGTATAGAGGTTAAATCCTCACACATAACTACCAAAAATTACAGGATTTTAGAGCTGAAGGATCTTTTTAATAACCTCATCCAGTGACCTTATTTTGTAGTGAAATAACACTGTGGTCCTGGGACTGCTATGAGATTGTCAAATTTGGAAAAATTCAAACAGTCTTAATATGGCATGGGGAGTAAAAAAGAGTGATGATTCAAGGAGTGTCAGTGATCAGATAGGAAATAAAGTAGTTTGTCACATTTTACCTCTTTTTAATCTGTCTCTTTTTGAGCTATTGCAAGTGTGAAGAGTTAAAAAAAATTGCCTATTTTGCAAATAAAGTACAGAAAAACAAGTTTCAAAAACTTGGCCAGTTTCTTTGAAAGTTCATAACAGAGCCAAGATTAAGCACACCCTTGACCATCGGGCCAACTTTTATTTATATAAAAAAAGTCACTGTCTCACCTGTTTAGCCTACTAAGCCATACTGCCCTCATAATGCTCCTGCGAGGCTGCCTGGAGCAGGGTCCGCTATTGAGGCCTGTGAACAAGAGCAAGTGAAGTAACAAGAGGAGGTGTCTGAGGGGTCCCTGAGGATAAGAGAGAAGACAAATGTTGATATCTTAATTTTTCCAAGCCTAAGTAGTTTGCCTTATGGTAGCAGTGTTGTGCTAGTAATGGAAACACCAGAGTTGGTAAAAATTTCAAAAAGATAAGCTATCCCTTAAGGCAAAGTGACTTAATTTTGCAAAAGAAAAAAAAAAAAAAAAAAAAACAGAAAAACTAAATGTTTGTCAGTGTAAAGCTCAACTCTTAAAACTTTCTTCAAGATAATGGAGCAGCAACATTCAAAGTACTTGTCGACTTTTGAAAGTAATTGTGATAATAAGAATGGTTTGAAGGTATAGTACAAGTTGTAAGGCCATACTTAAAATGCATATAAGGTAAATGTGTGCTTCAGTGCTCACAGAGTAAATGCCATTCATTGTTACTAAAGAAACCCAGTGACTTTGTCCTGCACTAAAGTTAATAAGAATGTATTGTTACAGCAGGCAGGATGGCACAAGCCTGTAATCCCAGCTATTCAGGAAACTACGGCAAGATCACAAATTGGAGACCAGTCTGGTCAATTTAGCCCTTTTCAAAATAAAAAGGGCCCGGTATATAGATCAGTGGTAGAGCACTCCTAGGTTCAATCCCCAGGGCAGGAAAAGTTTTCTGGTCATGTTAGGCAAAAACGTAAGAAAAATTGATGTTTCGTGGCTAAAATAAGTGACCTAATAGTTTCTGTGTTGTATTACTTAGACTTCACCATAAGTTTCTAAGTTGGTGGTATCATTTTCAACCATGGAAAGTAAGGATTAAAGAAGTTATGCAACTTGTCCAGAATCACAGACCAATGAATGACATGGTCAGGACTTTTTTTTAGCTCTGTTAAACGCCAAACCATTGCAACCACTAAAAGTAACTGCTTTATTTAACTAAAATCAAAGCTCTTAAATATCAGCTACCTACTTGTTTGATAGCTTTTCTATTTTTTGTGGTGCCTGAGATCAAACTGAAGGCCTAACCTATGTTATTTCCAGCCCTTAACAGCTTTTTTCTATTAACAATTTCCACATTGTACTTTTAAGTTGCGGGTAAATATTAATGGTAGGTTAAGAGTGACCATTAGTAATAGAAAAATACAAGAAATTGATAGTTTCAGCTATGAGAGTCTTTATTGAACTCTGACCTCTTCAGTTAACAGGCTAAAAGGCATTGCACAGGAGCTTAATGGCACTCAATGGTGGTACTGCTGTGACTGTAAGTGCAATATTTTAGGATAAACACTAAATCCAATCCAGTGATTCTAAACTAAACCACTCAACATACTAGATTTTCCTTACACTTGAATAAAATATTTTTAAGCCAATTCTTCAGCTGACAAGTCTCTTAAAAATCTTTACATCCTAAGTGTCTGGCATAGTGCCTGCTTGGTACATAAATTAGGTATCAAAATTTTTTAAGTAAAAGAATGTAGTCATTAGTTTTAGGATTCAAAGCATGTGTAACTTGTTACATGCTTGTAATTTTTATGTATCTTTGAACATTCCTTTGCTGGGAACATTTTAAGCTGTATCAACAATAAAAATTCTGATTCCGTGCAGCTTTTAAGAACTCTTGTTGTTTCTCAATGCTTCTGTTTTAATAATCTAGGGAAACCCAATGTAGATTTAATACTAAAACAAGACACGAAATACCTAAATATTAATATACACTAAAAATTATCAAAAACTAAAATAAGTAGAAAATACTCCCTTATTTGAAAAATGTTTCCTAATAGCAGCCTTATGATTCAGTTAATTAGAAGATAAGTTATTGCAAGTATTTGCAGGATCCTACTTGACAAGTTCCCATTTGAGAATTCAAGTTTTGTTTTCTCCTAAGAGAAATTATTGACACCCATTTTGTATATTTATAAGTTAATACTTGAGGATTTAATATAATCTTATTTTTGTATTTGTAATTACTGTTTTTTTAAATACTGCTTACTTCAAAGGGAAGCACTGTTTAAAAGATGTGAAACTTTTAATCCTGGAATGCTGAGACCACTTTTAAAGTATTTTAAGCACATCTGTATTATATTACACAGAGAAGAGAACAGTGTGTGCATTAGAATGCATAGATGGTGTATGGGCAGTGGGATGGCTGTTTGGGAAACTGAGTAATTTTTTCAGCATAATATTCTGCAATTCTAATGTTAAAGTTCCATAGGTAAGGTGAGTGATCTGAGAAGCGTATGTAACATATTTCATCCATTCCTCAGTTGATGGACATTTGTTTCCAACTGACTATTAGAAATTGTGCTGCTATAAACATGGGTACACATATTCATCCACTTTTTAAAAACAAGTCAGTTTTTATAGTAGACTTGGCTTTGCATTTTGATGAGCATTTCTCTTTCCCTTTTGACAACTATTGTGCAAGATAAACTGAGAACACAGATAAATCAACACCATAGTTCTTAATATGTAACTGCATGTGTGTCTTGGTCATCTGTCTAGTTAAGGTGCAAATAGTTATTAAGAAATACAAGTTTGTGAATGGTTTACTCTTATAGCAGATTCAAAAGTAGGCTGTGCATTGCAGTGTATTTTCCTGGGCTGGAATAAAAAGGATGGAGTTACAACTGTCAGTATAATGATTTACATATGAATATTGTCAGTAGACATGGAAAACTGCACTATGCTGGCAAACATATTCTCATCTTTTTTTTCTTTGCCATCAAATAATACTCACATGCCAACATATTTTCTTATGCCATTGTTAGTCAACTAGCTGAAATTCCAGCCCTTTCTTTCCTTCTACCTCCAAAAAGCAAGCAAAAGAACCTGAACATTTTATGCCTTAATAAATATTTGTACCTAATGACTTTTGACATGTTTAACAGATGTATCATAAGAATATGACTGATAAACTCTGTATTTCTTAAATTGAGTGCTTTTGCCTCATTCAGAAACCAAAACCTGTGTTGTTTTAAGTTTCAAAATAAAGGAAAGACAAAATTTTAAGTCATGGCAATATAAATTTCTTGAAACCAGTTATAATTAGAACTGACTTTTTACAAAAGTATTTTTGAGCCAGGTACAAATTTTACTGCCATACATTACTAGAAATTACTTATTGTAAGACATGGGCTGTTTTTCTTCTTAAGGTTTAAAGTTAAATATAGTTGAGAAATTTGAATTTTTAGTCATTCTTTTATGTAAGAAAATTTCTTGACATATTAAACCTGGATATTATATAAAAATCTTCATTCCTTAATATGGAGATTGGTGACTTGTTATAGAGCTTTCCTAATGTCACAATACTTACTATACTCTTTATTTAACTTTACAGTCCATGTAATAGTTATTTCACCTGGTTTTCTTAGTATTAAGTGAATATAAGGAAGCAACTACTGAATTAATGTCATCATAAAAATAAGTTTTAATGTAAGAGACTGATAAACATATTTGGTTTATTTATAAGTAAATTGGGATACTAAGGATAATTTTTTCTTTTTTATTAATAAGGTATTATGAATTGGATCCTCATAAAAGTCTTCTCGATAATTTGAGGAACAAAGTGATCATTGAATACCCAACATTACATGTGGTGTTGAAAGAATCCAGTAGTGACATGATAATTCTTCACCAAGGTACAAGTATACATGTGTTTCTGCAGTGCTTAGAATAAGTAGAAAAACTGAAGGAATTACTTTCCTTTTCTTTTTCTCTATTTTCTTTTCTTTCTTTAGATCTGTATTTTCCCAGTATACTTACCAAACTTAAGGGAATTTAACTTGTTACTTCTGTTAAGAGGATAAAGAATGAAATGAATGAGCTGCTGCTACTCCTTGAGAACATGTAAATTTATTACACCAAGCTTAAAGGAATGAGATTTGAATGTCTGAATATGAAAGAACACTTTTTGCATTAGTCGAGTTATTCATAGTGAAATAAATTACTCTGTAGTTAAAACGCTTTAAAAACAAAATGTTTTTAAACAATAATGTTGAAAGGAACATACATAAAATTTCGACTGCATTTAGACTGAGCTAGCCCATTGGCTTGACCCTTTGTCTTCTTTTGTTTAAATCATTCGTTTTATTTCCTTGATTTTGTTTTCTTAGCCTTATAGAGAAGCAGTGAACTAGAAAATGTGTATAAAAAAAGTATATAAAAAAACTAGAAAATGTATATAGTATATCAAATGACTTACCCATGTTTACAACTACTGATTAAAGTAAGTGAATTACATTTTAGAAAACAAGGTTCTAGAAGATGAAAAAATTCAGTAATTACTTTTTAAAAATGAGAGATTACTTAAAACCACACCATTTTCTGCTAAGAAATATAGGTACAGACCAAGTTTCAATGTAACAAACATGATAGGAATTTGAATTCTTGGATTGATCTCTTTTTAAAATAATGTTAACATACTTGGTTACATCTTTAAAGCTCATATAGACAGTAACCTATGTTGTAAGATGTTTTCTATACAGTTGAGCTTTTTTCCCCCCTTGACAAAGTTAGGACAAGAAATTTGTTAGAAAAATGCTAAAATTTTTGTTTGTGCTATGACTTGCAACTGGATTATAATTAGCAAATATAAAGTTTTAAATAATAAAATATGAATCTCTAAATCTAATGATTATTCTTGATTTTGAGAATACCCAGTTTTATTTTTAACTAAAAGAAATTAGAAATTTTAGTTTTAAATGATTGGCTTTACAATTTTAAACTTTAAAACTTTACTTTTCTTTTACTATAACTCACATAACACTTTCTAGATGTTGATTTCAGGGAAAGTTGTTTAGTAATGTGAGTTGCTAGCCAGAGCAAACATCGTCTGTGTAAATAAACATAGCATACACAGCTCCTCTTTCACCTTTTTAAAAATACACATTCAAACAAGACTTATGAAGCTGTAAGTCTACTATGATAGTGTTCTTAAAGTCTTAAGTAAAAAAAAAAAATTTTCTGCTGAGTTTATGATGGTTAGCTATTTACAGGAACACAGGTGACTTGTTCTTTCTGTACACAAAGGGTTATTTAGAACTGCTGTAGTGAAGAATTTAGGAGGATCTGACAGAATTCCAGGATCATACTGGAGTTGTTCCATCATAAGTACGTACACCTTAACAATAATGCCAGGCCTTCCTGTACATGCATTTCTTTCTGTAAGCACTTCAAGGTGCCTGTGTCATTGTACAATCTCATAGGTGGTCTGTTAATCAAAATGAGACTGTAAAAAAACAAAGCATTTCCTTTGGAAAGCCTTGAAATTTTTTCCCATTCTAGAGGCAAAAAAGTTGAATTTTGATCCCAAGTTCGTAGTACAAGGTGTCTCTTTTCTAGTTTGGGGAAAAAAATATGTTTCTGGACTGGAATTCAGTAGTTTCCGCACTTTATGGTTGTCATAATGTTTGTTGTGATTAAGATTGCCATAATCTATTTTTTCAAGTCTGCCTGTATTACTTGGCATTAGACAAAATCTTTTGCTTTCTTCCTTTCTTTTTTCCTTTTATTTCCTTTTCTTTTCTTTCTTTCTGAGGAATAGAAAAGGCTAACTATAAAAAAATAAGCAGTTACGGTAGCCCACTAGATTGGAGATGAAGTGTGCTTTTAATGCTACCTGGTATAAACCCAGTGGAAAGGCACTTAGGATGCTACAGCTTGCTTCACAAGCTCTTGTTTGCCAGAGTTAGACTAGCAGACCTAACCAACATGAAAAAGTATGCTAAGTTTCAGTCCAGAACACTATTAGAAGAAAACGAGCAGCTTTAATAAGAGAAAAAAATATTCCCTATATGCTGTAAAGCCCTATTAATTTAAAGAATATCACCTGATGTTTTAATATAACTCAGTTTAGAAAATGTCTCTGCCTTTAGAGAAGAAAACCAACCCTAAATTGATTACTTTGAGTTAACTGAAATGCCCAGCTTAGCAGCTACACATCAGTCTCTCATTGAGCCTGTAAACCCTGTCATTTACGCTCCTTCCCTCTTCTGTCCTCATTCCTCCTTAGCTCTTCATCCTTCCCCTTTCAGTGTATGGGATAAGGAAAGGAGGGATCAGGCTCCTGATTTTATAGTACACTAGTTGCTGGAAAAGAGTTTGGATAGAGCACAGAAGGAGCTAGAGGAGAAAACAACTAACATAGTATCACAGCAGCACTTGAAAAATTCTGCTAGGGTGTATATAATTCCACAAAAAGGGATACTATATCTCTGGAACTTATTTTAGTGCCTTTCTTATAGAAAGGACTCAAAGGCAAAGTCTGCATGTTTCTGCCATCAGCTTTGTAATCTGGTTTTTGAGCATATACTCTTCCTCTCTGAGCTTTATTTTTCTTATCTACATAGTGATGATAAACAGCTATAAGCTTCAAACACAATAATGCATAGTTTAACAATTTTTAAAGCATTTTAATGTGTTATGTGCTTTCAGCTTCATGATGCAATGAAATGAATAGAACATTTACTCTGGCTCCCATTGCAAATTAAAAAAAAAAATCATTTAAAGAGTGACTGGTTATACTGATTCTGCAAACACAGAGTACTATGGAGGTAGTTATAGAGGGGAAAGGTCCACTTTATATCCTCAAGGAAATTACTTCAGTGAGTAAATTAAACTTCATCTTGTTTATCATAAGCATAACAGAAGCTTCAAAGAAACTCCATTTCTGCCCTGAGTCTTTTTTCTATTAAAAGAAAAGAGATGCCCATTAGCTGGTTAGTCTTCTGTGTCAGCTCACATTCATTCAATGTATACTGACCCTCAAGTTTAGAAAAAATCATGAAAAAATTGATTGCAACCATATATGGCCAGCCTATGTGATAATAGTGGTCTATTCAGTTGTATGAGTATGGGATCATAACCACACTGTGAGTGTTCATTCCCAAGTCTTCCACAGAGTCAGGAAGGATGTTAACTCACAAATATAATTGCCACTTTCAGACATTATTTCTCTATTTATTATGGCCAGAATCATATATCCCAGCTGCCTGGTTGTTCTTTCCCTGTGAGCAGTGCTGTTGCTATGCATCCAAAGGGAGAAGAGATGGAGGAAAAACAGAACAGGATAAATAGAAACAGTATAAACATTTGACTGTGTGTTTACTTATTTTTTTTTCTAGTGAAAAGTGAATCTACCAAGAACCTTAGCAGTGAAAATTGAACACTTCTTCTGGAATTCCCAGAGATTTGCAGAGGATTATGCATTGATGGACTATTGGATGATTAGATTATTATCGGTGAACAATGGGAATTTTTTGTCTTTAGAGTAATTAAATAACCTAAACTTTGTTTTTATTTTACAAAAACATTTTCTAGACTCCTGAGTTAGTAGACTTTAGAGGTCCCTTCTTTTGTAGTGTGAAGCACTTTTTACACACCTCAATACAGTCCTTCATATGGTTAATTCTGTAGGCTGAAAATGTTTTGTTAGTTTGGATAAAACTGCACCAACCTGAAGAGAGCCTTCTCTAACGGAACTTCACTGAAAAGAACTGTCATGTCATGAACCATCTAGTTGCATGTTCCTGTTTTAGGGATTTATTTGTGACTTATCCCTCCCTCTTAAGGCAGTCTTTGTACTTGGGAAACTCTCAACACATTGTCTTCTGGAAAAGCTAAATCAATACTTAACTACTGTTTCTTATATTGAGATCAGAAAACCAGCAGCTCTACATTGTTTGAACAATCATGGTTAACAAGTTTCATACTTCTTGTTCACACAGTGAAATGTGTCTTTATGAATTGTGTGCCTTTCTCATTCCCAGTCCACTCTCATTGTCTCACAAGCAGAGGTATTGTGATGACCATTTTGGTATATAGTACTTTATATATCCAGCAATAATTAAAAAGCAAAACAAAAACTATTTGAAATATATCCATGTGTTGTTGAAATGTATATGTGTATCTTTGTGTATATACAAGGCTTAATTTATACCTTATGGCAGCTCATGATTTGCTAATTTTACTGGAATTTATACAGTTATGAAACAGTGATATAACTATAAAAGATTAAAAGATTTTACATCTGTACTGCATCTGTGTACTTAATGGTTAAAATACTGATAAAATTGGACATTAATGAAATTCATTTTTAGTTTACAATTGGAACAAATTCTAGACCCCCTAAGAAAACCAAAGTGACATTAAAAGGATTTAGAAAGATTAGAAATATGAACAGGTACAAAATGCACTCAGAAGAAGTTTGTACAACACAAATGCATAAGTAACTTGAGATGGAAACTGGAGAAGAAATCCCAAAGACAACAGTGTTAAAAGACCATTTCATGAAGTACCAGTGGAGCTGCATGGTAGCAGCACCTGTAACCCTAAAGCTGTCTGAGAGATTGAGACAGGAGAGGTTTGTAGGTTCAAGCCTCGGCAGGACAATTTAGCAAGATTCTGCTCAGAATAAACTTTTTTTTTAAAAAGCTAGGGAATGCAGCTTAGTGTGAAGGCCCTGGGTTCATTCTCCAGTACTCAGGAAAAAACAGTGGAAATTGGCTTATAGGAAGTTAGAGGGTCCTTCAATCTAGGAAGTATATTTATATCATGAAGCAATTTCAGGAATTTAATATAGGAAGGAATTTATGTAGAATTATTTGGTTTATAAGATGTCTAGATAGACAACTAAATTTGAGTTTCATGGGATTTGGATTTCATCCGAAAGTGAAAAGTTTTCTTAAAACAGACAAGAAAGGATGAACTGAATCAAATATGTCATACCATTGTTAGGAAAAGTGAGATAAAGTACACAAAAAGAACATATGGCCTGAATATTAAGATGGATAGTAATTATGATGTAGTCCCATTTCCAAGAAGAATGTTGAGTTCCATCCCTTCTGGAATTTAAATTGAAAACTAGACAAAACCCAAAAGAATTCTGTACTTTCCTCTGCCCAAGAAAATGAAATGGGGGCAGGAGGGCTCATAATCTAATGCATCTTTGCCATCTCTATTTCCTAGAATTCTAATAGACTTTTCAGTTACATGTAATTTCTTAGGAAAGAATTTAGCAGAGTTCACATAAATATATCAGCTCATTTGATTAATAGTCATTCTCGTAGGATTTATAATGTGCATTTTAATAAATAAGCATATCAAAGATGTGGAGAGAGTGAAGTTAGAATAATTCACTGGGAGGCCTAGAAGTTTGTAGTACTGAGCCCCAATTTCTTTTTAGAGAGGCCCTCTTCGTTTTGGATTTATGACAAATTCTGATTTGTAAACAAACTCCTTGACCCATGTTAAGTTCAACATCCTGCATTTTGTTCATGAATCACACTTCAAGAAAAGTTCCGCCTGGCTTCATTTATAAACTGATTTCAAAAAGAATCTAGACTTTTTATCATTGTTAATTAGTATCTGTGAGGTTAATAGACAACAGTACTAGTAAAGTATTAGTATTAGTGTAGTAAACAAAACTTGTACCTTGTTCCTATTACAAGAATTCAGTCTTACTGTGTTAGAAATTTGATATTCTAAAGCATGGATGAGCCAGTTTGACCAATTTGTTGCCCTCTAGCAGATAATGGGACTCAGATTTCAGAGTGTCAAAACGTGTTACACACATAACTACAATGTCAGTCATTTCCTTTATATATTTTAAGTTGGCATATACTGTATATTGTACCTGATTTAATGTTACTCAATTTATATTATGTATTTCACCAGATTTAATACTACTAAATCTTATACAAAGATGTTGGTCCATTTTTTTGTCTAATTGTACATTATTGCACTAAAATGTGTAGTCTATTTTCAGGTAAGTTGTTCGTGCCCCCCCTGCCCCCCAGTTGTTCGTGCCCCCCCCCCGCACTTGCCTAGCCCCAGCACTGAACTACACAGCCACCACCTGTTAATGCACCTTTAAGTATTAACCAATCGTCCTTCCAGTTCCAAGTGATAGAAATATAAACTAGTGTCAGCATGAGGGACAGTTTATTGGTTCATCTTCAGGGAAATATGGGCATGACTGTATCAAGTACCAGAAAGTCTTGCCATCCCCCACACTCAGCTCTAACTCCCCTCCCCCCATTAATTTTCTTACCCAGGAAGATTTCCTCTTTGGGGTGACGGTCTATGAGATGAGAATGGTAGATAGTAGCTACTGACAATTTCAACTTACCTCATTATACCCAGTCAAAGGAAACTAGAAAATTTTGTTCTTTGATTTGGCCTATACTGAATCACATTCATGACTGACTGGCAAAGGCATTTTCCCCAAAGAAGGAGGAATTATTAAAGGAAGAGTATAGAGAGCAGGTGAAGCAAGACTGAGTGTCCACTATACCCTGTTTGAATTCGGATAGTAAGTCAGTGCTTTCTAGAGAGGCTTACAAAGGCCGCCCACAGAGTCAGATGTGGAAGAGTGTGAAGATCTGTGTACTGGGGATCTCAAGAACCCAATCAAAGGCCTGGAGGTCACTGGTGTCCCCCATGAGTCCATTATTAGGAAGCTGATGGAAAGCTGAAGGATCAGTACTGGACACTGAAGAGTGCACGATAAGCCAGAAGACAATGTCCAAGGTGAAAGCAAAGTAAAGATGAGCTGTCTAGGGCTGGGGGTTTAGCTCAGCGGCATAAGCACCTGCCTTGCAAGCAGGCGGTCGTGAGTTCGATCCCCGGTACCAATAAAAATGAAAAAGACAAAAAAAAAAAATTTAAAAAAAAAAAAAAAAAGATGAGCTGTCTGAGGAAACAAGCAATCTTTGCTTCTGCATTTCCTTTTTGTACCGTTCTGGTGACAATCCTCCCTAGAGAGGGTCCTGTACACCCAGAACTGTACTGCGCCAATTTAGTTGTATGCTTCTTACTCAAGTTGACATAATGCATTAGTGTCACAAGGAGGAAGAGACTTGATTTGAACCAGCTGAAAAAATAAAGTTCAAAATTAACAACATTTCTGCTTGAATATGTTGCTGCTATGCTTTACCATTCTCTCATTCATTTCTGTGTGCATGGTACGTTACTGATTTGGCTAGATGCACATACTGCCACTCCATTTGGTTCATCAATTTGGAAATTTTTTTTCCAGTTTGTCAGTGTTTGAAAAAATAGAGATTTTCAAAATTAGCTACACTAGAAGAACTTTGAAAATGAAGAGTACTCATAAAAATTGAGCTTAAATAGACTTTCAAGGATCTTCACTGCAAAATATTTTCTATCAACTTTGGTCCTTGGAAATTGGGGCTGGGGATTTAGCCTAAGTGGCGTAAGTGCCTGCCTGGCAGGCATGAGGTCATGAGTTCGATCCCTAGCTCCAAAATTGTGTGTGTGTGTGTGTGTATGTGTGTCTGTGCGTGCACACACACACGCACACATGCTTTAAAATGAAGTATAATATGAGCATTTTTCGTAGTGAGGTGTGGTAGAAACAAATTATCACTTAGCCATTGACAAGCAATTGAATCACTCATTATTTTCAATTTCATATTCTTTCTGAGTAAAGTACCAAAACTACTTAGCCTGACCTTTGATACCCTCCATGATGTGGTCTTTAATTTTACATTTTCAGTTTATTTATTTTCACCTTTCAGTCACAAAAAAAGCATCATTGAAGTCATATTCATTCTTTTATATATAGGTGTCCAGTTTCCCAACACCATTTTTGTCCAAAAACTTTAAGAATTTTATTAGTACACATTTGCAGTGCATAATTGGTACACGCCATTTATTGAAGAAACTCTCCTTTATTATGCTTTTTGGTAGCTTTATCAGAGATAATTGACATGTATCCATAAGCTTACATCTGAGTTCTTTCATTAGTTTATGTGTCTCTTTTTATAAGAATACAATGGGTTTTTTTGGTTACTATCATTTTGTAATTTTCTGATATTAATTGAAATCAAGCATGTTTTATCCAGCTTCATTGTTCTTTCTCGGAATTTCTTTGATCATTTAGGGTCTTTGGTGGTTCTATACAAGTTTTAGGATTTTTTTTTTTCCTATTTCTATGGAAAATGTCTGGAATCCAAATAGGAATTGCACTTGATCTATAGATTGTTTTGGGTAAGATGGACAGTTTGACAAAATTAATTCTCCCCATCCGTAACACATTATATCTTTCCTTTTATTTGTGCTTCAATTTCAGTACATGCATTTCAGTATGTAGCTCTTTTCACCTCCATAGTTAAAATTTATTAAGTATTTTGGTTTTTATGTTAGTGGTGATTTTTTTTTCAGTTCGTTCATTGCTTGTGCACAGAAATGCAACTGAATGTTGTAAGTTTAAAAAATTCATTCCAACACTCTTGGATGGAATCTAGGTTTTCAATATATTAAATCATGTCATCTGCAAGCAGAATATTACATCACTTTTTTGATTTGGTGTGTTTTATTTCATTTCTTTTTCTTGTCTAATTGCTCTGGCTAGGACTTCTAATACTGTGTTAAATGGAAGTACTGAGAGTGTGGACCCTTAAGGTTCTGAATTTGACTATTAATCCTTGTCAGTGACTTTTATGCATTCATATGTTTTTATGTTGTTAATTGGTATCCTTTTATCTCAGCTTGAAAATTTCTGTGTACCATTTCTTGTAAGACTACAGCTTTTGTTACCAAAAACAGGATTTTCCAAACTAATGTGAAATGTGCCAACAATGACGTCCATTTGAAGTGAGCAGAATATTTTGAGGGGACTGATGGTAACTGTCTTTCGTTATGCACTTTTTAAAAAATTTAAACACATTTTTTCCGTCATGACTGGGGCTGGCCAACAGCAGGTAGGTTTTTTGTTCGTTTCCGTAAGAGAAGTTTAAGACTGAAAAGGCTTCAGAGATGTTAAATTGTGAGCTCTAGTGTCAGTAAGGTACCATCATTCTGTTATATATCTGCAAGCAAGCAGGTCCAGCCACACTAAGGAATGTGCTCAAGGTCACATGGAGAATAAGTAATCTAGGAGTCAATGCAAGGCAAGTTGAGCCTCACAGGTCATGTCCTTAACTATGTGGGCTCTGTTCTACTCACTATATGCTGTCCTGAATTGATGCAATATTTATGATAAAGTGAAGTGACTACCATCATTTGATGCT